AAACACAGCAAGCACTTCTTCGTGTGTTTAAACATGGAGAATGGATATTCATTCTACCCGTAAATAGAACTCATGGTGTCACATTTAGGGTGCAGGATCATGTGAAAAGCTGACTACAACTATCATATTGTACCTGAGAAGAATGTTAAAAAAATGATATTTATTACTGCTTTTATGAATATTTTGTATTTCAGACCCAGTCTTTTCTATGGTGCAGCCATAGAAAACTGATTCCCTTGGTCAGTAACATTTCTGAGAAAAGCAATTTTGCAATGGATTCCAGATTTCTTTTTATCTGGTCTGAAATTTTTGCATACACTAGAAACAGTGCATCAGTAGTTGGACTTGAGGGCAAAGTATGCCAAAATCATTATGTTTGTTGTATGCATTTTTCAGAGATTGTCTCTTTCCAGGAGGATAAATGCTTGAAGGGTTAAATGTCAGGGAGCTGTTACCAGTGTTCTTGATGAGGGTCCTTGACCTTGGGAGCTTGCTCCTGTCAGAGCCTCTTGGTCTACAGGCCTTCAAAGCCTTCTTTGACGCCAGTCACTTTGGAGAGGCCAAATCTTCCACACAGCTGAAGACAGCCAGAGGTTTGGTGAGAACTGGGGAAGTGAAGCAGAGCTGGGCACTGGGATGTGGTGCCCTAGAATGCTTTTACGTGTCATTGGAGATATTACTGTACAGCTGGTTTTGTGTGTTGTTGCATTGTGCCTTCTGGAAAGTTGCACTTCAGAAATCTAAATGTAAATGAAAAGTAAATGTTACTCATTGCATAGCTCTGTGATTGTCATCTGAGTAGGATTCACTGCAGGTTTTGTATAATCCCCTGTTTATTGTATTAAATTGTATAAATGCTATCCGAGAATAGGGTGTTTTATCGCTAGGGTTGTGACGTGACTGCAAGTGCTATCTGGGAACTGACCACGAGAACTGTGTGAACTAAACAGCTGTTAACCATGGAAAGGAATGTTTCTTCTTCACTTGTGATGCGTATATGGGTGGAAGATATGTGGCTGACCAGATGCAGAGGACTTAGTGAGAAGTGAATCCATTATGTCATTGATGGAGCCAGAGGTCTGGAGGGTGTAATTTTTGATGAATCTTTCTTTTAAAGTAGCTCTTAATAGAATCTTCATTTTAAAGTTGCTCTACTCTACTAAGTTCTGTCTTTAATTCTGGTAGTGGAGTTACCTTTCAGTCTATCATTGGAAGGACTACTTTTGGTCTGGTCGCTGTCCTGTCTCTCCATCAGCAAAGGCTCTGATCCAGTCTCTATGAATTGACAAGTGTCTTCTGTCTATGAATTTCTGTTTGAGGGACAGGACTTCAGTAAATACTTTCTATATATAAATGTATAAAAACGTAGAGAGATGTTCTACAGTCATGGTCCAAAATGCTGTCTTTGCATAACCAATTAGTGCAGAATTTGGCATTCTTTTATGAGGCTGATTCCTAGATAAGAAGATGCTAGTTCAAAGTGCTGCTTCAATACAATGCAAATCTGAAAAATGTTGTAGGTATTTTATGATTCACTACTCAGAGCAGGAGGCGTTTGGCTCTGGTCTGGCAATGTGATATTGGGCCATTCACCTTTACGTGGTGGCAGAGGATGGAGGTCAGGTAACAAATGAAAGCTGTTACCATCTGATGGCTGTTTAGTCACCTGTGAAATGCAGTTTCCAATAGACAGGTTTGCACATCATAGGAGCAGCCACCACAATTAGATGAGCAGAGCCAGCCCCCTTTTCAAAAGACTTGTTAGGGTGGCTGACAGGTACATTATGCCTCATCTTAGCCTTCAAATTGATCCAGACAGTTGAGTTTTTCCAAACATAGCATACAGTCCTATGGTTGCTAATTGTGCTCTGCTTGCTTGTGGAGAAGACCATGTTTTACTGTTGGAGCTCTTGGCCTGTCTCTTTCCTAGAAAGGCTTCATCTATGAAAGCAGGAAAAAAAGTAGAGCTTACAGCAGCATCCGTGAGGTCCTGACTCTGTGTCAATAAGTTGCTTGCAAAATGTTTAAAGTCTTCATTGGGTTTAGGATTTCATCCTGTGGAAGCATTATAGAGGGCACCCTCTATCTCCCAGTGAAGCTAATCATGTACAGACTTGACAGTAGTTACTGACAAATTGGCTGAGGGCACTGATTAATTTTAACAAATGAGTTTTCTTTGAATGCAAGCTCACACATGCCAATTATAACAGTATTTCTGTGATAAAATTAGGGATTTTTTTTTTTTCTTTAAGCTTCATATCTGCTGGTTATTTTTTCTAGCATCTTAAAACATCTTACATTTTGTGGGGGGTGTCATTTTGGGGAGAAGAAAAACCCAAACCAGACATGCTCTTTCACCCCCTAAATGCCCTAAATACTAATGAAATATTCAAAGTGGTTGTGAAATTCCATTCTAGTGGTTAAGGAGTATTTAATGTATTGTATCATACAGGCTGGAAGGCCTCTTGTGTCTTCAGTGAACTACACGCCTGATACCTAGTCCCATAAAATCAGTGAAAGGTCTTGTGCTGTCTTTAAGTGGGCTTTGGATGTAGACCTCTGTGAGTCCTAGTTTCTATTCTAGCTGCAGACTCCTTTCCACAGGAGACAATAAACTTTGTGTGGTAGGAAACAAAGCTCCTAGCAAACATACATGAGTGTTGGGTTGTATTTTGGTGTATTGAAGGAACTGGCTTTAAAAGAAAGCCTGCTTGGGCTAAATATATCATGAGGTATTACAGAGGAAGCATTAAGAATAAAAGGAGTGCAGGAATTTTTTGAAGAAAACAGTGTACACTATGTAATTTCTTCTCTTCCCCCCCTCCACCCAACCAGTGGTGCTAGCATAGAAATTACATTATAGCTGCATAGACAAGAAGCCTTATTTCTTAAGAACACAATGTGGTTTATAGGAAAGTCAAGCAGTGACATACTTACAGATATTTAACTTGTATATAGCCTTACAGATGGGTGTAAAGCTGTGATCTAACTCCCTTGACTCCACCACATACAGCTGAAGGGTGCAGAATACCAAGGGTGGCTCTACACTGACTGATGAGTTTGCATGACTAGTGGTGCGGTGTTGACATTTTCTTTGTAATATGCCACCTTTTTTTGGAAGCTTCTCATTCACCCATAAAACACATTTTGATTTAAAGCACAGTTAAATGGTCTACCTAGCAGAAGGAGAGGTCTTCTAAGTATAAAAATGATTGCTTTGACAAAATGGAGAATAATGTGGCATTAACAAAGAGAATTCACTTTTCTCTCTCTCTTTTTTTTGTTGTTTTGTTTAACATACATAACTCTCAGTACCCTTAGATTTAAAAGATGTTTAGAAAAAGACATTTATAAAAATGGAAGTCCCTTAAAGATTGTTTCTTTCATTATCTCGACAAACCTTGAAGAGTAGTTTCTGTATCTGCATGTTTCAAAAACAGTTCTTAGGGGTTTTATTACGTGCTGAAACACATGTTTATAAAAAAGACTATAACGTGGTGGAAAAAGTGTCTTACAATAATAAACCTGTCGATGGGCCATGTGCTGCCATCAGTATGTTTGAAAAAAAAAAAATCTTCTACAAGTGTTAAGTAAGTTTACAGCCTGAGTGTTAAGTTAGGGTCAGACTGTGACTGCCCCTCTGTGGATTGAGAGGGGGAGGGAGGTGCACACAGATCCTCCTCATGCTCTTTTCATTAGCTTATGAGGCAGCGACAGGATGGAGAGGGTAGCACGCCTTCCCAAAGGGAAGATGAGCAGGAAGATGAGGCAGGAGAGCCATGGCATGGGAGACCACGAGACGTCCTCCTCTGGCAGCTTTCCTTGGTGCTCCACAGGTTTGTGCCCACCTGGCACAAGGCTGTGTATTTTGTAAAACTAGGATGAGCTTTGTGTGGTCTCTCCTGAGAAGAGCAAACCTCTGAGGTAGATTATCTGCTGTTAAAAGGTGACAGAACCGATGTATGAAGCTGGTACAAAAATAAAAGAGCTCTGATAAATATTTAGTTGGGTAAACAATGTGGAAAACATGTCAGTTCTTACTATCTACTACACAGATATAGTTTGTGGATTTTTGGGGGGTTTGGTGCTTGTATCACTGTTTTTTGTTTTTTAAATGTAGGTGATGTGGTAGTTACAAAGTCTCTGGTTTCTGAAGAGCAAAAGTAAGGTGCAGTGGGTCAAAGGATGTATCATTCTTAAAAGGCACTTCTGTGTGGGATCAATGTTTGGTAAATGTGCACACTTTCAAGCCTATTCTACTTCCGTAGCTCCTGTGAATGGGAGTCATGCATGTGTTCATCTCAAATAGGTCTCTGTAACTCAGGCACTTTCTGTGGACAAACATACTGAGAAGTGTTTTAATGTCCTAATGTTTTCCACCACTGATCAGCTGTACACTGCTTATTTTCCTGACGGCCTGGCAGGTGAGAGTCATTGTCAAAGGAAGTATCAAAGACTAAGGAGAATTGTTTAATGCAGTTGACCATGCTGAAGGCTTTCTCAAAAGATACATGATCTTGCCGTAGTATCTGTTATCAAAATTGAGACTGGGAGCACAGCAGTCCCCACCATGAGCAAATTCCTTACCCCCAGGCTTTCCAAGATTCATCAAAGCCTTTAGGTTGCTCAGGGGAAATCTACTTCTTGAGGGCTGAGATCTTCCCCCTGGGTTTACCTGACCTGAAGTCTAATGAGATTGTGCCTATGCGTATGAGGCTTCCAGTCTAGAAGAGGGCCTTTACGACCAATGAAGTGGAGCACAGAGAGGTAATAAGCTGCAGTAGCAACACCCAGACCCCAGCACGGAGTTTGCAATCACAATGAAATGGAAGTGGAAAACAGATTGGATCAGTAATCCATGAAAGAGAAGGTACTTGGGAGTTATGTGGATGTTCCCTGGGAATATTTCTGGGTGCATCGGAGAGTAAGGCTAAATATGGATTGAAGACACAGTAGGGGGGGATGACAATAAGTCTGGGGAGGAAACCATCTGTGCCTGCTCTATGCTTACCTTTCCAGGAGAGGCACTTCGGTACTGGCAAGGCTTGGAAGCGTCCTGGGACCATTTCTCTCCAGCCTGACGAAATGTCTCCCCATAGAGACTGTAAAAGTCCAGCCAAGTTCTTACACCCAGCTGGACCTGAAGGAAGGGTCCTGGCATTCAGTGCTGCCTCCTGAGCACAGCTGAAGAGGTGACTGAGGAGCCTGCAGTGGGCCAGGCTGGCTTGCCGGTGGTATATACAAGCCAACATGTGGTGTTAACAACCGCAGAGTTCAGAATTTGCACAAACCCACATTTAGTAATAAAATAGCCTGCAACTAGTCAAAGGCGCCAGCAGTAGCCAAGCAAATTTGGAATGTCTAAGCCAACCATTTTTAAGTTATGAGCCAAAAAAAAATTAGGAAACAGTCCAAGAAATGGAGAGCACCTCGCTTTTCTGGAACTCATATCTCCAAGATGCCTTGGCTGATCTACCTCAAACTTTCCAGAGAAGCTTTCCTTGGCACAAGACCATGACTGTGAAATTTCATGTGACTGGATTTTACTTTGTTGAAGTTATGAAGGTTAAAACCGGAGTTTGTTATAGAAAGCTAATCTCTCCATTAGAAATATTTCTGTATTGTTGATACTCATTCCATTGTAATTATTCACTGCTATTTCTTGTTCAGACTGATTTTATTTTTGCTATTTATTTTAGATATATTTTTTTCTTTTTAAGGATAAATTCAGAGCACAGCTCGGAGACAGATTTTGCATGGCTCTGTATGGTATATGTGGTAAGGCAGAAGCATTAGCCCTATTATCGACCGGAGACAAAAGTCACTGTTGGAGTCCTGCTCTCACCTGACTGTCTCTGGAGAGCTTTTTGGAGCATCTGGTTTGGGACCTCACTGCTTACTGCAGTTTTTCCCTCTGTGCTTGGTAGAAGAGAGTATCTCTGTTGGCCTAGTTATACTCTCACCTCCAGGCAAAAAAATTTCTAGTAGTCCATCTTGTCATTCCAGTTCTCCCTAGTGGCAGCGCCTGCTGTGGAAAGCCATGAAGGTGGCAGCAGCCTGATAATTGGGACCACTGTTGTCCATATGTGCTCTTGAGCTGCTCTCCATTGTGTCTAAACACCTGTACTGTGAGATGTCTAGGTGCTAAAGTTGTAAGGTTTCAGACAGGCGTTATAAGATCTAAAGAAAGTGACTCTGGGCCTGGAAGTGCTTTTTAGAGTTAAGGGCACCTTACCTGTTACTTAATTCTGTGTAGAAGTGGTACCTGGTTGTGCAACAGCCCCTTCCTCTGCTCCGGGTGCTGTTTTCTGGATGATGTGAAGACCAAGGCATGTCATTGCAGATACTTGCTGTTGGTAGGTGGAGTCACATGACCAAAGGTCTCTAAATATGCTGTCTTTAAAGACATTGGGTTAATTTGACCGAGTCACTTTACAGGCAGAGTGAGCAAGCAGAGCTGGAACAGATGTCAAGCAGCAGTGAGCCCTCACCCTGAGGCAGGGTCTGAGAGTGTTTGAAGTCAGTGTTTAACTGTATTTTTCTTTCTGGGGCTCAGTTTGAAAGCGCCAGGAGAGACTCAGCAGAAGTCAGGAGGTGCTGCTCCTGGAAGAGACAAGGTGCTGTTGATCAGTGTTTGGTAGGACTCTCTTTCAGGCAGGATCACTCAGCATCTGCTGAGCTCTGTGCTCCGTGTCTGTTCAAGGGACGGACTTTGTCCTGTTTGCCATCTGTACCGGTACGGGCTATGATCTGTAGGCAAGGGATGTTACTGCTTCTTGCCTAACACACCCCACACCAAACATACGGTTGTCTGCTAAGATAAAGTAGATTATTATGGGTTAATTCCTGAAAGAGGGTGTCTGCAAATAATACCTATCAGAAGGGTTTCTATTTACTCAGGTGTTTTGTTATTAGTAGTACTAAAATGACCAACAGAGCCAGCTAAAAATCAATCTGCTGCTGTAAAGGCAGCCAATGAGAAGAGTGCAGGGTGGGTGTAATGTGATCACAGCTACTTAAACTACTGATCAGATATACTGCTACAGTCTGCAAAAGCTGCAAGTGGTGGAGAAACCCTGCTGAAAACTCCTGGACCACGGAATTAAAATAATTAAGCCTTGCAGTCACTGTGTTCTTGCAAGGTAGGCATGAGACAAATAAGGGCCCAGCTAGAGCTCACTGTATATATGTGGAAGTTTGCTTTTGTACTGTGTGACACTGAAGCTCTTTGTTTTCTTTAAACAATAACTAGTTGATGTTGAAAGTGCCAGAAAAGAGGAAATGTCAAGCAAAAAGTATAGACATGGAGATGCATCTTTTGATTCCTGAGCTAGCTTAAGCATCACTGCGCTGTAGTGCTCTGCGTAGACTCCCTGAATGATTTCTTCAGTAAGCAGGACCCCAATGGAGGAGATCACCTCAGAGAATTTCTATCTTCCTGGCATTTCTAGAAATAGTGTGTCTGTGCTCTTCAGACTGCAGAGCTGCAAAGTTTTGAGTTACTACTGGTGCTGCTCAGTCCTGTGCTTGCAGACAAAAGCTTCCAAGGCATCTCATAAACCCGTGCACAAGCTGAGAGAAGGGATAGAAAACTGCATACCCTGTAATACTGCAATATTATAGTATTGTCTGCTGCTGCAGTAACCCCTGCTGTGTTTGGACGGTCTCAGGCATACCAGCACCATGTCTAATCAGTCAAGCAGCCAATAGTAATTCATAGCCTTGACTGCTGAGAAGTTCAGCACGGCTAAGATAGACATCTGATCCAGCTCAAGACAGGAAAGGCATCTTTCTACAGTAGTTTGCTTTTTGATAGTACCACTTTAACCCTATTTCTGAATTGGCTCACTTTCTAAAGAATAGTTCAAAAGTTTAAAATTATCCCCCCCCCCCCCAAATCCTTGATATTATTTTCATATTTATTGACTTTTAACATTTTAAGGAAATTAGGCAGTAACATTAACAGCCAGACAATGATACAGCTCTGTAATGACAGTAAAGCTGTTAGATGGACAGTACTGGAGTGTCTCAAGTGCTGAATGCACATGTTGAGTATATGGGATAGAGTATGAAGTTTCTCATAACTTACTACTGGATTAAAGTCAGCCTTTTTATGTGTGATTCCCCACCCCCCCAGTTGTTTGGAATCAGCTGTAAGTGTGGTCAGTAACAGCAGAGCAACAAGAGACTTGCTCATTACCCCAGTGTTCAAATTTCCCTGAAAGTAATATTGATACCACATCAGTTCCACTGTGGTTTTGGGATATAAACTGAAATCAAATTTTTCATTCAGATCCACTAAACAAAACATTTACGTTTTTTCATCTTTGATATGCAGTCTGTTTTTTAAGCAAAAGATTCTGCTCATTTTCCATCCATCTGAAGGGAGGTTACAAAAGAAGAAAATTGCAAGTCCAGTGTATGAGAAGTACTTGGGAAAATGGTAAGTGACTTGGAAAGAGGCATGCCGAATAAAAGCGTCATCAAGAAAAAGACGGTCAAGGCTTACAGCAGTGGTGACTGGTTCATAGGTCTTGGAGATGGTTCAGAATAGGGATGCTCCTTCTTCTGAGGCTTTGGAAGTCAAGAGGTGGTTATAGTGACATGGTGATGCTGGAGGAAACATGACTGTAGTCTGGAGTCATCAGCCACTGGCAGAAATGCTGGAGAAGTAGTAGCTGTAGAGAGAGCACATAGAGTACATAAAGTATGTATTATATTAACAATGTTAGATTTTCCAAGAAAGGCAGTGCTTTTAGAAAGCATCATGAAAAGTGTCATGTACTAAAAGTCTATTTTTTTCCCAATTCTCTGATGCCCAAGCTGAGTGAAATTGATTTTAAACCAGTGTGCCTGTTTCTTACAAGAGTGTGCTTGGAAAAAAAGTGATATATTAGAATTCACATAAACTTGGATTCTCCATCTCCTGGAAAGGGAACTATATATGTTACCCACAGACAGAAATGTAGGCTCCTCTACAGCATGTCCTTGGGCATGTTGTATTTAATTGTCTTGAAAATACATGATTATTCCTCATGCTTGTCCATACTCAGTTTCTTTATGGAGACAGTGACATTTACAGTATCTGAATCTGGAATATTGCTTTTGCCATAGCTTTTGGTAATTATCTGCATTTACTAAAAATAAAACCCTAAATGGAGACCTTGGCAGGGCCATGGTGTTGTAGGTTTAACAGACACAAATTGTTACCTGCATACGGTGATAAAAAACACTTCAGAGAAATCAAGCTTTCCATTTGCTTGATTTGAGCCGTACAGATACTTTTCCTTTATTTTCTCTTCCTTCATGGTATGAAACTGTGTAAGTGTGCTCATTCTTTCATCAAAATTATTCAGACCTGAGGGACACTTGTAATTACAAAATAATTAGTAAATAAGTCAGATAAATACTATCCATTGAGAATTGTGAAAGCACATTGGATAGGAGTGTTAAAGAGCTGTATCAAATTCAAACAAAGCTTAAAAACTTATCAGTATTTAGTATGATAAGCCCATTTCATCATAAATTAGTACACTGTTAGTAATTTCTGCTGCTTTTGGAGCAATCTGAAGAAGAGATTTAGCAATTTCAAAAAGTAGTTAAAATGGAATCATAGAATAGTTAGGGTTGGAAAGGACCTTAAGAGCATCTAGTTCCAGCTGCTCTGCCATGGGCAGGGACACCTCACACCAAACCATGTCACCCAAGGCTCTGTCCAACCTGGCCTTGAACACCACCAGGGATGGGGCATTCACAACTTCCCTGGGCAACCCATTCCAGTGGCTCAACCACACTTACTGTAAAGAATTTCTTCCTTATATCCAATCTAAACTTCCCCTGTTTAAGTTTTAACCCACTGCCCCTTGTCCTATCACTAAAGTCCCTAATGAAGACTCCCTCCCCAGCATCCCTATAGGCCCCCTTCAGATACTGGAAGGCTGCTATGAAGTCTCCATGCAGCCTTCTCTTCTCCAGCCTGAACAGCCCCAACTTTCTCAGCCTATCCTCATATGGGAGGTGCTCCAGTCCCCTGATCATCCTCGTGGCCCTCCTCTGCACTTGTTCCAACAGTTCCATGTCCATAGGGAGAAATCTGTCAAAAGTACAGCATCCCTAGACTAAAATGTGGTGGTATTCAGTGACCTGATTTGCAGCACAAACTTGGGGTGTGCACTGGCAGTTCTGTGTTCATGTGCAAATGCGGTCAGTGGGGTTCTTATCCACAGCTGGACCT